AATAAAAATATATTATTTTGTTGCCCTGTAAATAGAGTCACTGATATTGGACATTGATTATCAGTCTCTACTATGAAACAAGAGTGTGAAATTATTACATAGCTGTAAAATTTGCATACAATTTCCTACCAGGCTCTACAGACTTTAAAGACGAGATTTTAGTTCTAAAATACAAAAATCATTCAAGGTATTTAGAACCCTCACATGAGGATTTTTTAAAAATCCACTCCAATTCCATTGAAATAGGCACATTTGGGAGTAGATAGGAGTCACTACAAAACGAATTTCTGAAAAGCATAATTTAAAGTTATGCTTTTCAGCACTTTGTCTGATAATTAGGCATTTTAAATAAATATTTCTAAGTCTCATTTGTGCTTAGTTAGTTGAACTGATATTTAAGTGGGTGGAACATTTCCATCTGTGAATCTTACCAGTTTAGAAAGATTCATGTCTCGTAGTACACGCATGACAATCGTGGATTCCGTATCTGTGGGGTTGGCTCTTTTTGCTGCTCCCAAGGTCCGGAGTACTGACAGAATGTTACGCAGACCAAAGTCATAATGTACCTGAAGAATTTGAACATACTTGGCTTATTTTCAATATTAAACTACTCATGGGAACTATATAAATTTGATAGAAGTCCTATTCACAATAATGAATAAATGCTGGTTTTCCTTTAGATAACTTATTGCCAATGGTACAATAAATTTCTTTATAGATATACCATTTGAGCAAATACAGAATATCCAAAAGCTTCCTCCCATCCACCATCATTAGCTGAAGCCCTTGGATCAGAACTAACTGACGTAGCTTGACAGGGGAAAAGGAATAAATTTCCTCTTGGAGTACAAATGTCCCTTTGAGCTTCTTCTTAATCAATCATACATAAGGAAATTTGCTCATATCTCTAAAGCTAAAATTCAAATTCAGAACCAGAATTAAACTGGGACTTCACTAATGACTGTCTCATATATATCTACATAGAGATAGATAGATGCCTTTTGAGGAAGAAGAAAAGCGGCTGTACGTCAGGATTACCTGGGGGAGGAAGAAGAAGGATAAATCAGGAAGCTGAGCCCCCAGCTTCATCCTTCCCTTGGTATATATTTATAAAAGCTCAATCATGCCAAATTTCAGCATTTATTAACATAAAGTAATAATTAAAATCCAATGATCCAATCACTGTGGAAAACAGTACGGCTGTTCCTCAAAAAATTAAATGGTAGTAAAATACAACTACCATAAAATCCAGTAATCCCACTTCTGGGAATATATCTGAAAGCATTGAAAGCAGGGTCTCAAGGAGATACTTGCATACCCATGTTCATAGCAGCACCATTCACAATAGCCAAGAGGTGGAAGCAACCCAAACATCTATTGATAGACAAAGGGATAAACAAAATGTGGCATATCCGTATAATGGAATACTATTTAACCATAAAAAGGAAGGAAATCCTATCACATGTTGCAACATGAATGAACCTTGAGGACATTATGCTAAGTAAAATATGTCAGGCACAAGAAGACAAACGCTGTATGATTTCACTCATATAAGGTATCTAAAGTAGTCAAATTCTCAGAAACAGAAATGAGAATGGTGGTTACCAGGGCCTGCGGGAGGAGGAAAAGAGAATTTGCTTAGCGCTGCGGTCCCTGACTTAGGAACCATGGGCCACAAAGCAGAAGGTGAGCTTCAGGCGAGCGAGTGAAGCTTCATCAGTATTTACAGCAGCTCCCCATCACCTACATCCCTGCCTGAGCTCCCCCCTGCTCTCCCCCTTCCTCATCTGTGGAAAAATTGTCTTCCATGAAACCAGTCCTGGTACCAAAAAGGTTGGGGACCACTGGTTTAGTGGGTATACGGTTTCAATTTTTCAAGATGGAAAAGTTATGAAAATCTGTTTTACAACATTGTAAATATACTTAACACTACTGAACTGTACACTTAAAAAAAATGGTTGAAATGGTAAATTTAATGTTATATGTTTTTACCACATTAAAAAATACCTATAGAGAAACAAAAACAAAAACAAAACAGTTATCTGATAAGGTAATTGGGAGCAGTATGCCTCACTTAATACTAGTCATTTGGAAGATGAAGCACATAAAAATATTTACATTGAGTTCTTGCCATCAGGAAATTTAAATTCTAATAAAGATGATTAAGTAAAAATATGAATAAATTTGCATATAAGTAACAAGTGTTGGTGGGTAAAATTAATCATAGGAAAACTTCCTATTAGAATTGGACTCTGAGTTAAATCTGTGGGCATGAAGGGAGAGTCACAGAATGTTCATCAAGAGATCAGTATGGGACCAATCGCTTTGTACACATCAACTCATTTTATTCACAACGACATTGTGAAGATGGGTTGCAGGATGTTCATGTTATATTCTTACTTATATTCTTATTTATTGCAACGTGTCATCATTTAGCATAGGCTTTCAGTAATTTTATTTGAATGTCCTAGAAAATTGTGGCATGATGCCCACTTCCTGGTGTTCACGTACTTGCAGGATCTTATCACCTTAAGGTCTTGTGATTCGCTTCTACTAGAATACAATAGAGACAATAGGTTGCATGTGATCACATGAATGTGATTATGTGGTCATATTACATAAGATTGTAGCACTCTTCTTGCTGAAACCTCTTTTCTTGCTAACTTTGAGAAAGCAAGTGGCCACATCAGGGAATCTCATGTTACAAAGAACTCACACGGCCTGCAGGAACTGAAGGTGGGTGCCTCTAGACAACAGCCAGCAAGATATCAAAGCCCTCAGTCTTAAAATCTCAAGGAACAGGATTCTGCCAACAAGCAGAGTGAGCTTGGAAGTAGATCATTCCTAGTCAAGCGTCAGATGAAACCACACCCCCAGCCAAGACCTTGATTACAGCCTTGTTAGACACTAACGACAGGACCCAAGTTAAGCTGACTCCTGATCCATAGACACTGTGTAATAATAAATGTGGCATATAATAATAAATTTTGAAAGCTATGGAATCAACCTAAGTGCCCATCAACCAAGCAGTAGATAAAGAAAATACAGTATATATATACCATGGAATACTACTCAGCCATAAAAATGAATGAAATAATGTCTTTTGCAGCAAGTTGGATAGAACTAGAGACCACTACCCTAAGTGGAGTATCTCAGGAATGGAAAGACAAATACCACATGTTCTCACTTATAAGTGGGAGCTAAACAATGGGTACATACAACCATAAAGAGGCATAAGGGATGCTGAAAACTAAGAATAGGGGAATGTGGGAGTGGGGGTGAGGGATCAGAAATTACTTATCAGGAACAATGTGCATGATTTTGGTGATGGGTACACTAAAAGCCCTGACTTCACCTTTATACAATTTATCCATGTAATAAAAAACAATTGTACCCCCTAAATCTATTGACAAAAAAAAAAGAAATGAGAAAAGTAAATGATTGAGAGGTTCCTAAAAACCAGGATGATCATATTACAATGAATGTATAGGTAGAATAAGCAGCAAATATTAACATCCATAATTCTTTCGCTTTTAAATCAGTTTGGGTAGTATTTACTTCATTTCTATGCTGTCAATATTAATTTCTTTAAATGTACTTCTCAATTAAATTATGCATATACAATTATTTTATAATTATACACCTTCCTACTTTGTATCAATAAAGAACTTTGTCAACAAGTCCGGTCTACAATTTTTCAAAATGAGAACACTTAACTGAATAGCGAAATGAAATATGCCTTAGTACAGAGACCTCCAGAATGACACACCTGCTTAGAAAGCTGCTCCTCACACAATTTGTAGAGTGTGAAAAACTTCCTGGCCAGAACAACATTGTCAATGAAGCCACAACTCGCCAACTTCACCCTTATAATTATCTGACGGTCAGGGACCATCATGGCCACCGTGCGGAAGTTAATCTTCAAGTTTTCAGGCAGTTCCTGCCGCCCGGCATAGCCAGGATTCTAAACAGAAAATACAACCCACGCATGAACAATATGATCATGGTCCAACAAGCAGATGTTAGCATGATATCAGCGGATTCGTGATACACACACAACAAATCTGGAATGACAACCAGAGATCTCACTCCCACATCTCACTCTCCTCTCACCTGGACAGAACAAGCTGTGAGGTATTAATACGATCTTTGTTTAATACTACAGGTTTTCACACAGGAGGGAAAATGACAATCCCAGTCTCCATTCATGGAAAAGGGATGACATATGACCAGGGAGATGTATGAAGACTGTGATAAAGCTGAAATTAAGTAGCTTGTCAGGCGTCTCCTTACCATGGTTAGAAAAAGCCCAAATTCAGGGTTCATGGTCACAGTATCTCCATCAGTAAAAATAAAAGATTTTTTATGCTCCTTTTTACACGTCAGAATAATGGAAATTTGCTGGGCTGCAACTGACAGAACTGGTAGATCAATACGGTTAAATTCATCAAAACAGCCCCAGGATCCAGACTGTGCCAGTCCTTAGAAAAGAAATTAAATAGAAAATCCAATTAGTATACAATTTTGGAAAGCCAAGGAAAAGGACATAATGAAGCTGCCAAAACAAGCCAGACATAAGTTTGTTCAAAAATAAAGTTGAACAAATACATCATGCATCGAGCAACCCAAAACAGCTCACAATTTGGCACTTTATCTGTAAACAGCCAACATTCAGTGATAAAGGAACATCACAAAAGGCAAGTGATACTAACATTTGATCTACACAACACTGGCAAGATTAAAGATTTTCCAAAATGTTTTACAAAGTTGAAAAATGACCCTAAAAGGTAGCCAATTGATGAAAAATAAATTTCAAAAAGATATTCCACCTTAGCTGAAATTTCTCATTAGATTAAAAATAAATTAATTTAAAAAATATATAACCCAAACCTTTAAAAATCCGTCCAAGTCCTCGGAAATCCATCTGGTCCGAACAATTGAAAACTACGACATATTTTCCAAGACATCGTCCCATATCTTTGGTAGTTTCTGTTTTGCCTGTTCCTGCAGGTCCAGCAGGGGCTCCTCCCATGCTCATTCCTAGAGCTTGAGCCAGCGTGATATAACACCTGGAGGGGAAGAAACATCACTAGAACTAACCCACCAGCATCCAGAAGGTACTTCCAAGACATCACAGTGAAATGAAACCTGCACGAGAATAGAAAACAGGAGACCTAAGCCCTTGTCCCTACATAACATTTCCAAAACTACCTCCTAAAAGACACTTATCCTTAGCAACGTTAACATGTGTTCTGTTAAAAGGAGGGGGTAATCTATGGTTAAATTAGTTTGAAAACAATTGAAAAGGTTAAACAGGCTACTGCTGAATTTTTCAGGCTTCCTTATGATAATGTGTATTGAGAATTTCCAAATATGAAAAATTACACATAGCATTTCCAAAGTTTGCTTGGAATCTTTTTCACAGAAATCTGTCCCCATCTAAAAAAAAAAAAATGATATTCTGTGAAACAGATTTGGAACCATTTAAATAGATTAATCCCCTTTTGAATCTAAGAGTCGATAATTTGATGTACTTGGGATTTGAATCACACGTTGCTAAATAATCACATCTTGAATCTATTTCTGTGAGCAGCTATGAGACCTGCACATAACTTCCACTGTGTCTTACCAGATGAGATTAACAAATAAAAGATTGGAGAGAGCATACAAGAATGCCCGGGAAGGAAAGGTTTTAACCTGATAACTTGCTGATGAATGACTTGATTCCCAGCACCACCTGGTGTTGTCAAAGGAGACAATTCGTAAAGTGATGCAATTTACGGTTTTCTTACGGCCAAACTATAAAGCATTCATCTGGACTTGAAAAATATTTCAAAGGAAACGAAGTGATTATCCAACATGAAGGGTGAAAACGAACAGTTAGCGCACCAACTGGAGGTGTTCCAGGGTCTCTATTTTATTGGAAACAGGTGCTGAAAGGCAAGTCAGTGACTCAGCCCTGAATGTATACGAGCCTGGATACGGAGGAGAAGATCTGGGGTCTTAGTTCTCCCCTTGCACTTTGGCCATCCCTTTCAGAGCGGAATCTGTCATACAACAGCCAACACGATGTGCTCCACGTGCATTATCTCACTTAATTCTCCAGAGAACTCTGGATGGAAGCTACTGTTCTTTTCCCCTGTTTTACAGATGAAGAAAGAGGCTCACAGAGATTGAGCAGCTTTTCTCAGGATGGCAGTGGGAGAGCTAAGACGTGGGCCAGCCTGTCCGGCTGTAAGCCAAGCCCTGCCCCTGCCCAGTCCACCCTACCAGGGTAAGAAATATGTCTCCCTCAACTCTGTCCACTCAGCTGCTCTGCCTCCCAACCTCTCATTATAACTGGGATCATTAGGTTTATATTTAAACTGAAGAAGTAGCAAGTTGCTTCAAAGAAATCATCCTATTTATCTGAAAAGCGAGTAGGCATGTCAGGTGACTTATCCCTTACTTTCTCTGCATGGTGAAGCTTCAGACCAACTGCTACACTGGTACCCGAACTGCTTTTCAGTGACAAGAATGATCTGTCGGAGCATCTCCCCATACCTGCTAATGAGACTCTTCCCAGAGTATCCTATACGTGTGTGTGCCTCCCTCCCTCCCTTCTCTGTTTTCCTTTCTAATCTCTTTCTCTTAGCTATTTTCAAAAATGTCTCCATTTGTGAACAGGGTTTGAACTTTGCGTGTTTTAGTGGCCTGTTGACAGCTCTGTCTCAGTTTCCCACCTTCCAATTAGACTGCTGTAAACTCTCTGCTGTCAGGATCTGGGTCTAGTTCACACTTGTACCCTCAACTACTTGCCTAACCCCTGTCACCTTGTATGCTATGAACATTTGTCGAATAAATGGCTTGTGCTGGTCCAGCCCTACACTCTTATCTGGTTTCTCCCATCCCGACAGCTACTGGAATTAGAGATATAAAATTTGACCACGATGCCAAATGAACAGCAACCAACCTCATGACCTGAAGCCCATTAGCACTCAATTTAATTTAATTTAATACCAACAGTATTAAGTATTCATATCACGGTAGATGCATTTCATCACATGTAAACCAGAAGTGGTTTCAGCTCCTATTGATTCTAAGATGCTGAAAAGTTTCCTAAGACAACAAAGGTGCATGCATCAGCAAGTTACTTTTCTTTGTTGAGAACTTGGTTTAGTTACAGACTCTTTGATTACAGGCCATGCTTAAGGAAAAACAAAAGGAAACGCTGCTAAAGAATGTGTTATCAGTGAGTCAGAAAAACAACAATCATAGCAGAAGTAATATTAATGACTGCCATTTGCTCTGTGTATTCATGTTACCTCTAGTCCGTACGATGATTCTAAAGAAGGGAATCAGAGACATTGGGTGTCTTACCTAAGACTACACAGCTGTACAGGCAGAGTTGAGTGGTCAACAGTCAGGCATGACTCACAGAAGCTGTGAGAATATGTCAGGGAAAGATACACATTGTTAGGCCTGTCTACATTTCTTCTCAATGAGATAAAACGCCTCTAATAGCCCTCGACTTCCTCTGCCCTCTGCCTTAAGTGACAGCTGTGGTCCGAACAATTCTATTCTTCTCTGCGTGTACTCAGAAGTGGGAGGAAGGACGAGTCATTAAAAACACCATGTGTTTTTGGCCAAAGGTGCTTTATGTCATCATATTATAATGACTATTTCATCATCAGAAATGTCTGCAACTCTGTCTACATGGGGTTGAGCTCCCCAGAGCCCAGAGAGCTGTCGCCATTGCTGAATTTTCACAAGTCAGTCAGCGAAATGCTAACAACAAACATACCAGTGCCTCTAGCATTTGACTTTTTCAAAGTATTAATTTCAGTGAGGAGTTTTCTTTTCGAAAAGAGAGCAAATCTTGCAATGGAATCCAAATAACCAGCAAAACGTGATGAATCACCTCTCACATAATCAAATTATTTAAAGAAAAATGAACAAGTGAACATTTTAGGTGAATCAGGCTGAAACACACTTTGGAAGCACCTCTACTTGTACACTTATAAAAAACTTCTTTAGCTTTTCAAGTTCTCAAGTTTTTTGATATAAAAATACATGATAGTGAACGTAGTGCAAGAATCAAGTAGCAGAAAAGGTTGTAAACTATGATATCTATATGTGAAAATTTAAAAAGGATTTTGACATATAGCCATGCAAAGTTTTCAGAGGCATATAAAATAAACTGTTAATCATTTCGAAAAATAGGAAAGTTTTCCCTCCCACATTTTCTACTTTATGTTCTTCTTTACCATTTAAAATTTTCATCATTAAGATGTAACTTTGGAAATAATCATTTCTTTCATTTATTCAAGAAATATGTATTTAGCATCTGTTACGTGACAGAACTATTCTAGTGAATAAATCACATGAAGCTCATGCGTCGAGAAGCTTATATTTTAAAGGAAGGAGACAGATTATTTTAAAAAATAAGAAACAGGGAAAATAAAGCTGGGTCAGAGGGTTATGGAGTGTGAGGATTGCTGCTTCAAATGTGGAGGGTCAGAGACCCCTCTGAGGTGACCTCTGAGCAGAGGCCTGAGGAAGTGAGGAGGCAAACTAAGCCAAGATTGGAGGAAGAGGGTTCCAGGCCAAGAGTGCAGCAAGTGCAAGGGTCCTGAGGCAGGACTGTGCTGGCACTGTTCAAGGAACAGCCAAGGAGCAGGTCACGGGAGCTGAAAGAGGAAGAAGACGCAGAGAAGTGGCAGGGGCCAGATAGTGGCAGGGGCCAGATCGTGGCAGGGGCCAGATCGTGGCAGGGACCAGTTAGTGACAGGACTCTTAGGATGAAGTGAGGACATTACTTTTACTTTTTGTGAAATGGAACCCAGTGGAGAGTTTGGGGCAAAGGAGTGACAGGATCTGACTTATATTCTGGTATCTGAACTGAGAACAGACTGTACAGGCAAAACAGCAGAGGCAGGGAGGCCAATTAAAAGACCATCGCAATAATCCAGGTTAGAGATTATGACGGTTTGGATAAGATTGGTAACAGCAAAGGGGTGAAAAGTGGTCACTTTCTAGATGAATTCTGAAAGCAGCACTGACCAAATTGATGGTAGATTGGATAACAAGATGCTGGAGAAAGAAAGTCTTTAAGGATGCTCCAAGGATTGTTGGACTGAACAACTAGAAGGTAACATCTGCAGGTTTCAGGGATTAGGACATGAGCATCTTTGGGAAGACCATTATTCTGACTATCACACTTCCCCCACCAGTGTGATAACATGGAATGGCCATTTACTAGAATGCAGAGTTGACAAGAGGGTACTTTTGTGGGAGAAAAATCAAACATGCTATGGTAAAATATCCTATAAGCACCCAAGTGGACATGTAGTGTAGGCAGGTGGATATATATGTCTGGAATTCAGGGGAGAAGCCCTGGATGGATGCAGAGATTTGAGGTCAACGTCTAGTGGTATTTAAAGCCATGTGGGATCACTTAAGGAGACAGGGAAGAAAAGAGCCTTGGCATGTTCTACGATTAAGAGGTCAGGAAGGTGAAGAGGAACCACCAGTAGGAACAGGTATGAAGGGACAACCACACCAGAATGAGGAACCAGGCGAACGTGGTATTCTAGAAGCCATGTGAAGAAAGCGTATCAAAAAGGAGAGAATGATCGACTGTGCCAATCCTGCTGATTGTTCAAGGAAGACGAGATCCAGAAAGAACCATTGGATTTAGCAACCTGAAGGTCAGCGTGACTTTCACAGAACTGTTTTATCAGAGTAATGGGGAAAGTGTGGTCGTCAGAATATTGGTCCCCAAAGATGTCCACGTTCTAATCCCTGGAACCTGTGAACATGTCGCCTTCCATGGCTAAAAAGACTTTGCAGATGTCATTAATGGTAAGCATGTTGAGATGGAGGGATTATCCTGGATTACCCAGTGGACCCAATCTAATCTCATGAGTCCTTAAAAGGGGAGGAGAGAAGCAGAAGGGCAGGCCAGAGACCTGAGACAGAAGAAAGAAGAGAGATTTAAAGCATGAGAGAGACTCGACCCACCGTTGCTGGCTTTGGAGATGGAGGAAGGGGTTGAGAGTCAAGGACTGTGGCAGCCTTCTGAAGCTGGAACAGCCCTCGGCTGACAGTAAGAAAATAGGGTCCTGGTCTTATAATCACAAGGAAAGGAATTCTGCCAACCACCTAAAAGAGCAGGAAACAGATTCCCCGCTGGAGTCTCCAGGAAGGAACACAGCCCTGCTGACATCTGATTTTAGTCCAGTAAGACCTGTGTGAGATTTCTGACGTACAGAACTGTAAAAATGGTAAACCTGTGTTGTTTCAGCTTCTAAATTTGTGGCAATTTGTTAGGGCAGCAAAAAATAAAAACTAACACCAAGTGCTTGGAGTGAGTTCAAAACAAACCAGGTGGAGAGAAATTGTGCTTTTGAGGGATTTTGATGGGAGCACAGGAACTGGCAGGGAACGGGAGCCGTCACAGCAGGGTTTTCTGCATGGAAGCCTTACAGCATGTTTGTATGTTGATGAAAATGATCCAGTAGAAAGTGAAAATTGATGCTGCGCCCAGAGAGGAAATCGTGGTTTCAGTGGAGGGTTGGCTTTGGATGGCAGTGCAGATGATCTATCTGGACAACCAGGAGAGAAAGAGACTTCGTGGAGAGAGGTGCCCACATTAGTGGACGTGGTAGCGGAAGACGAGTGCACAGTCTCTCCTGTGACCGCATCTGTCTTCTCAATGAAACAGGAAACAAGGCCTTCGGTGGAGAGAGAGGAAGGGAAGGCAGTACTGGAGGTTTGAAGGAGAGGAGGTGTGACATAACCGCGTACGTGTTTCAAGGGAATTTCCTAGATGGTAACTCTTCACACTTTTTAAATGAGTAGTATTTTTAATTGACAAGTCATCATTACATACACTTATGGGGTACGGTGTGACGTTACGTTACATGCACACAATGTGATGTGACAATAGAGATTCAGTGCATCCCTGAACAGAGCATATACAATGTGGCTGCTGCCACAATGTTCAGATTAGACTAAGAGAATTACAGAGTATCGTTGCTGGAAGGACCCTTGGAGACAGCCAAGTTTATTTGCAAATGAGGAGACTGAGTCTGGGGAGGCTGCAGCGACGCTCTCGCAAACGCCTCCATATGCCCGGCCCCGTGCCTCTCCCTGCTTTTCACCTGCATTGACACTCAATTTCTTTCCTGCTAAAAAAAAAAATCTAAATTTTTTCTCAGTAATGAAAAGGTACTAAAGCAGCCCTCAGGGCCCACGGTGATTTGTACCTAGTGACACACAGCAATTAATTCCCGTTCTTACTCATTCAACGTCCGCAGATACATCTAAACTTCGCCTTTGTAAGACTGAAGGCAAAGGAAGAAAGGTCTGTTTCAGTCACAAACCTAATTACTGGATGAAGACACAGGCGTAAAGCTAACAATACTAAATTTCAGAAGTTTTAATATCAAAGAGCCAGTAAACCCTAAAGAGACATTAAGCAAAAATCCCCTGAACAACTCAAGAGAATAAAAGCATCAGGGGAGGAGGGGAGCAGAGAGGCTGAGGAACCAGAATCCTCCCGTCACCTGTCTGTGAGTGGCGTTATGACAAGCCTGTCAGTGCAGCCTAAAAATTCATTCTGGTATATGAAAGCCACATCTGTGATATGAATCATCATCTTGTCAGAATCTTCATTAAAATAAAATCTGCACTGTTTCAGCCACTCGAAGTCCGTAGGACTCTTGATATGCGTGTGACACTGAAATCCAAAAGATACACGTTAGAGCGGCGGTGAGAATCACTTATTAAACATACACATTAGCATTCATGTAGACCATAAAGTGACATAAATAGAACTCAGAGACAACCCAACTAGTTCAGAGATGTCAACCATATCAGCAGCCAACCCATTCATTTACTGATCAATAAAAAGTAAACTGTAGAAGATATGGGGAAAGGAAAATTCAAGAGCAATCCCTAGTTATTCCCCTCCCATTTAAATGGCATTACGTATTTTAATAATAAGAGATTCATTTCTTAAATTTCACCCTTAAATGCCCAATACCATAGTCCTAGTCATGAAATACAATCTATGGAAAAACATGTTTTGGCATACCAAGACAGAACTAAACAACCTCATTAGGAAAAAGGCATCTCTTAAGATTATGACAAAGTATATTGTTGAGGGTTTTTTTTAATCCGTTAATTATTTTTCCTAGGAATTACATGGGGCCAAAATTTCTAACATCTAAATGACAGGTTATTGCCTAGCCATGCTTTCGTCTGAATTTTAAACCAGATTTTAAGGCACTTTAATCATTTTTCTTTGACAAATAAGAAATCTAAAATTACCCTGAGCCCTTTTTTCTCAGAGTGGCAAATAGAGTGCTTAACTATTAAGAGAGGAGATTAGCACACGATAGCTTGAATGCGCTGCCTCTATTTCCATCACATCAGTACCAATCTTTCATAATCTTTTTTACATAATGGGGTGAGACACAATCCAAAAAATTATTATGAAAATAAGAGCTTCTTGCCTCTCTTATCTGATGTTATATTTTACAGGAAAGGACAAATTTCATTTCATTTCTTTTCACATTTCCCATTTCCTACAGCTACTAAACTCTCTTTTTCCACTCTATTCTCTCCTTAAAGGCAAAAACCTGCATGACACCTGAATGTCACAAGCTATATTGGGAAAGACCATTTGCAATCAATGACATAAAATGTAGCGAAACTTGTCAAGGATGTGATTTTTCAAAAGGTCCTAAACAGCTCCCCCGGCAATATTACTAATAATTTCTGTAGCAAGAAACCGGTGATCTTCAATTAATAGCTAAAAGGAGAAAAAGACAAATGAAAGCTTTTCAGGATGCTATATGACATTTAAACATTAAAAATAATCACAGAAAGAATTGTAAAATAAAGTCTAATTGCCTCAGTAACATCTTAGCACAGATCATCGGAATATGACTGACATTTCAGTTAAGGACGGAAAAGAAAATCTGACAACAAGCTCTGATTACGAAGATGATTCTTTGACTGAATTTAACCTTTTCCCCAAATTCAATCAAACTAAATCTAGTGGGAAAACACAGATAGCGTCTAGGATTTGCTTTTCTGGATATGCCACAGCATTTACAAAGAATTTACCAGCTCATCAAAGATATCCCGTTGGTGCACATGAATAGTAATCAAAGTCTCGTATTTCACCCGTTCTGTGGAACTCAGATCCTTCGTGGTGACATCTATCAGTGTGTTTAGTAGCTCCAGGAAAGACTGATTGGTTTTCTGCATGATTTTTTTATCAAACTTGGCATTTCTAAGGGCTTCTTCTGAATCCCGTGTCCATATCATTTGAATTCCTAATAATCCAACCTTACAGAAATAAAAAAGGGTTATGAGTATGTGTGGCATATTTATACATTTAAATAGAAAGAAGAACATAATGAATAGTTGTGATTATTATGAAAGTATAACGCCTTGATTACACCAATTTGATACCTTCTTTCACAACCTGTGAGAACTCTATTTCTTGTCATTTTAAGTTATTTATGTTTAAGTCACATTTCTTCCTAGATAGATTTTAAGTTTCTTGCAGGTAAAGAACATGTCTTAAACTTGCTTTGCCCAAACTAGCACAGTGTTTACACAGAGTAGATGCTCACAAAATTTTATTGATCACAATGACTAAAAAAAAAATTGTTTCCTGTATTTGATGCTAAAATATATTTTCATTTTTCTAGTAAAGTATTCACTAGGTACATTTTTATGACTTATAGACATTGTTACATAAAGATATTCCATAGGGGGAAAAGCTGTTTTAAGTTAAAGAAGATATATCAAATATCTCTACAACCCAAATACACGTTTAAGTTTCTCTATACATGACCATATAATCTGTAGTTGAAATCGTTACAGTTATCTATATTTAGTGAAAATTTCAATATTGGTCCGGAGTTAAATGATAGCCATTTGTGAAGCTTACAATAGACAATGAGATTTAAGATGACTACTTTATAAAAAATACTTTCCAATTTCAATACACTGACCTGAGCAGGGAAGAATGAAAGAAATTCAATTAACTGGAAACCTGTTTCTTGAATATTTGCAGCTGCTTGGCGAATCACATGATGTAATGAGGACTGGGATTCCTCTAAGAGAGAATTAAGCCAAACTTCCACGTTGCCCTCTGCCATCACAGGTTTATGCAATTCAATCGTCTCACCCTCTCGAGAGGAAACTGACAGAATTCGATCGTAGATCTATGTTAGAAGCCAACAAAATAGCTATAGTCATATAAAAATTTTTAAAATGTCTACCTTTCCTCCATTCTCCTCTTGTAAATGTTATCCTTCCCATAGAAATATTATAAAATACTGCACAAGGCAAAATACAATATAAAATTGATTTCAAAACAATAAAAAAGTTACCCATGAAATCTAAAAGTAAACAATAAAAAAAGTTAGCCATGAAATCTAAAAGGGAATACTCAATCAATTCCAAATAATCTGTACCGTAAGGGGGAAAACATTTTCTACAGGAAATATTTAATACAAATGTGATGACGAAAAAAATCTCTAAGGTTTCCCTAGCGAAATGAGACTCTTTCAAAGCTTGTCATTGCACACCACAAGATTATCAAGCTGACCTTAGCAGTAACCTAGTCAATATGATCAATGCAAACACTTTACAAGGTAATTCCAATTTTGTACCAAACCTGGCGCTTTTTACAGGAGATCTTGGTCGCACATAATGTTTTGTAATTCAAACCCAGCTCCTGTTCTGGTCTTTCACTCCCATTCCCATGCAGTCTGACAAAATGAGAATAGCATAGTATTTGGAGTTCTAAGATACATTCCATGACCGTGCACTGTTGGAGGAAAACATCTCTGAGACTAAATTTCTTGCCTATAATTAGCCATTAAAAATCATGCTTGCCCTATTTTCCTACCCACCTCACACGCTGTTCATGCCAATTAAACAAAATAACACGAACTATAAAGTAAATGCAAATGTTTGTTGTTGTTTCTGTTCTGTGGTAAAATGGAATATTGTTCCTTTGGGCTCAGATTTAGTGCTGTACTGATGAAGTCCTCCTCAGTTGTAGACAGAAGCAGTCTACCAGGAAGCTAATGAGTCTTCAGTTTCAGGGCCCTTTACTTACACAGACCCTCTCCAAGGCTCTGAGTGTAAATTTGTAAAATCTTATAATTTTATAAGATTTAGGACTCACACAACCAGGATCTGCCCCTGGTTTTAGAAATCTTATGGCAGGGAAAATAAAAAACAAAAGCAATTCTATCTTAAGAAGTAATTGCTATGAAAAGAAGCTAAAAATCTGTGGGCATTTAATCAACAAAAGAGGAAGTTTAAATTATCTTCAATGTACAACTTGAGACTGTGAGAAGCTTTGCTCTTGGACCATGAGGTCATAGTGCTGTAGCAAAAGGATTTAAGTGAAACATCAAAAAGAACTTCCTGGTTAATTTAAGTCCCTTCTTTCAACCCACACATCCAATAGATCACAAGAAACATTGGTTTTAAGCGATTAAAATCCATCCTATCTTTCCTTCCTCTCTGTCCCTTCTGACAAGGCTTTTATTATAGCAGCTCAGCCTTTTCCATCCTGACTCCGCCATGGCTTTCAACACAGTTTTCCTTGGTTCCTTTCATTCCACCTCCTGCCCTGCACCAGAGCAGCTTTCTGAAACACAAATCAGGTCACTGTCCTGCGTAAAAGCCTCACACAGTCTGGTATCACGTTTAGGATGAAGTAGAATTCCACAATGTGATGCGCTCGGTCTTTGGAATCTGGCCTGTCCCTGCTCCTCCCTTTGCTCATCATTCCCTGTTGTGAGTTGAATTGTGAACCTCAAAAAACATATGTTGAAGTCCTAATCCCTGGTATCTGTGTGGTATCGTGAATGTGGCATTATTTGAAAATAGAGTCTTTGCAGATGCAATCAAGTTAAGAGGAGATCACCTTCTAGCCTCTAGAACGGTGAGAGAATACATTTCTGTTGTTTTAAGCCACAGCAGCCCTAGAAAACAAATGCACTTGCTCACATACCCACACTCTGACATCCTGGGCTGCCCACACCTCCGGGTCCCTTGCACATGCCCTTCACCTGCCTACTTATCAGTTCAAGTCCATATTCTCCTGCAGAAAGCCTTCCCTAACACCCCTATGCACCCAGATTAGGGCTCCCTGACAGGAATTCCCTTGAACCTTGTGCTTCATACAAGCACAATAACAACAATTCAAGTCCAAAATTATCAACATGGAATGGCCAAATTTCTCTTGAGTATTGTACTGCATAAAAATGACTTCAGTGTTAACCATGATGTATTCTTCCTGAGAATCCAGGGGCCAGCATCATGTCTGGCACAAAGCAAGAGGCTTGACCTCAACAACTGGTTTTTAATTGCTTATAATGGAACAGCTCTAACACTGCACTAACTGCATGCTATAGACTCTATTTGTTTACTCCTCTGTCTCCTGCACCAGAGCTGAGTCCCCGGAAGCTAATCCCAATGTTAGGCATGACATCTGACACATGGTAGCTCCTCAATAAAGTAAACTACATACTAGGATGAATACATAAATATTACTAAGGGTTTGTATGAAGCACCAGAGGGAAACTGAACACAATATCAAATGGGAAGGGTCACATTCCTACGGAATTTTTAATAGAGGGATGGATTAGACAGTATCTTTTGGCAGCTGTGCAAGTATAGTCGCCCTCAAGTTGAATGACCTTTTTCAGGTCCGCTAGAGCTCCCCAATTCTATAAACGTGCAAGTGTAAAAGAAATTTCAATAAAGCATGCTGAAAACTTCTGAAATCTGATTTTAAAAAATCAAATCACTGGGGCAATTCTGTTTATTCAAGGCATAAGTTTATGAGCAATTGGTTTCTTTACCTTGTTGGATTTCTAAGTAGTTAATTTGGCCTGTAAAACCATGAATGCTACATGCAATGCATTTTTAATCACATTTAAGCTACAATTTTTTATTCAACTCTACACTTTGGATAGTAAAATAATTAGCCAGTTTTGAAGGTAAATTGGACCCCAAAGTTTGTTCTCGGTTACTGACCAAGAAATTAATGGACAGGAAAGTAACCCTCTGTAAACACAGGATCAGAGAACTACTTAGTAAAGACCACTGAGATTCTAAGATGCAGCGATTGTCGGCCAGCAATGAGAATGAAGTGAACCTTTTCATGGAACTTGACAGTTTTAATGTTGTCAAACACATTCAGCAAGTGGGCTTGTATCGTGTGGGAGTCCGACGCTTGCCCCAGAATCTCCAGAAGGGCGGGATCCGAGACAAAGAAGAACCGAGGGAAGCAAAGTCGTTTCTTCTCCAAATATCTAAGAAGGGAGGAAAAATATAAACTTTAATAAACACACAAAAACTGACCATTCTAGGAATACATTAGCCTGGATGGGAAAAAACGAAAGACTGTGTGATGATCTGATTTTCCCACACGATTTTTCAATATTTTTTGGTGTTTTTCATTTATGAAGAGATTTCTCAGTTATTCCATATTCTGATGGAGAAATGATTTTTTTTTTCCAAAATTGGTGGCAGAATTTCTTCATTGTTTACAAGTGCAATGTATACATTTTACTTAGTCCGGAAAATCTTGTGCACCCTTTGTAGAAAGCAGGATAAAATACACACAGGGAATTTTTGGTTTGGTTTGGTTTGATTTTGCTCGTAAGCACAGCGCTGTGTCAGCTAAAGGCTCTATATAATTCTTGGAATTATATCTTAAAGGGAATCCAGTGAATCCATTGTCAGAGCAGAAGCAACGTCCAGCCATGAATGAGCTCCGTGGACGGGCCTGGGCCCTGTTCTCAGCCTCCCGGAGTTGCCGAAATCCAGCGACCACTCCTACCATCGACTTGCTTTCAACTGCTTCTGCTTCTGTATTTGCTTCATGCTATCGGGACTCCTTATGTTATGGATATATGGATTCTGTTACTTTCTGTAGCTCTCTATCGTCATTTTCTAGCACATTTGGTTGTAATTATGGTGACTTAATTGCACTTTTTGGGGGAATTTTACCAACTTTTTAAACTTTGAGTTTGTTTTTAGTTTTTTAATTTCTATTCTTCTCCCATCGTTTGTATTATTTATTTGTTTCCTGTGTAAAATTAGGAGGAAACATTCTTATTTCACAGCAGAAGAATTCTCTTCCCAGGAAAATAGAGTTTTTGCTAGGGGATTATGTGGATCAGAAACCAGAGCCAGCGGCACCCTCCGAGGGCAGGATGGTCCACAATTGGTCAGCCGCTGGACTTGTCTTGCTGAATGGGATGTCCAAGCCCAGGCAAGAGCCAAATTCCTCAAGATAAAAGACAGGACGTTTTCAAAAAGAGGCAAAGAAAAAAAAGAGATATCGGGAGGCTCGTGGTAAGTGAGGAATTTGGGAAAGAAAAAGACATGTCTACACTGATGATGATGGATAAGCCTTGGTGGGGGGGTTGAAATCATCCTCCCCAACTCTCATCAGATGCTTAATAAAATATACATTACAAGCTCTCATGGCAACTGGATTTCTTTACTTTGGGCTTGTGAAAAAGCACAAAGGAGGCAGGATAGAAGAAGAGGCAGCCCAAAGAGTCTGTTTTCTTACATCCCCCTCATTTTCTTAAAATCTTACTTTTATGCTGGTAATATTTAATTTTGTTTGTGTTAGCTTTTTACTTTCTTAGTTTAAAATTGCTAATTTTATTATTTTAAATATCCCAATCCTTATTATTTGCATAACTTTGATTTTTATTCTTACTAACTGACTTACTAATTCCTATTGGTTACTTGCTGTCAGTAACCTGGCTTGATTCTGGTGAGGAATCTAGTCGTGTTTTCTATCCAGTTAGACCAGAATGGAAGGAGGCTATGAAATGTGACAGCCAAACCCCTGTAATGGTATGAAGAGACAACTTACCGTTACATAGACATTCCTGCTTAACCCCCACCCAAATTAATTTTTTTTTTAGAGACAGGGTCTCACTCTGTCACCCAGGCTGGAGTGCAGCGGCGTCATCATAGCTCACTGCAGCCTCCAACTCCCAGGCTCACGCAATCCTCCCAGCTCAGCCTCCCTAAGTGAGACTACAGGCACATGCCACCATGCCCGGCTCCCCACTCAAAATGACATCCAATCTGTGTGAAGACTCTTCTTGTCCATGCTATCCTTGACAGTTTGGGAGGGTGTTTTTTTGTGTAAATATGATTACTCAGATGTTTATACTGGACTTAAACATGTTGCCTCATAACCTCTTCTTGGTAATAGAATCAAAAGGGAAAGTTCAATTTTTAAAAAAGCTGTGAATACGTGAATAATTTTAGAGTAGATTTTTTCTCTAAAGAGTTATAAAACAATGGCAAAATTTCAGGTGATAGAATAGAATATGTCCACGGTAAAAAGAAAGAATGAAAAAGAGAAAAATATAGGTCAGTGTGTGTGTGTGTGTTTGTCTGTCTATGGTGGTGGGTGGAAGATGAGGAAGGAAGAGGAAAATAACAAACCCAGCTGTAGGTGGGCCAGCACATGACTCCTAAGCAACATTTTCAGTGGTGATTGAACCTATGTGATGTCCTAGTGATCCCTACCCCTCAATCCTTCCATCCTGAAGAGCCCTGGGAAGATGGAAACTCTCATAACCCCTTTCTTCTTTCTCTCTGGCCTTATCGTGGCAGTAGACTCATGGCCCTCATGTCAGGTCTGCATTCAAGAACCTTCAGCAGTTCCTGAACCACAGTTGGTCATGCTAAAAAATCGTTATGACTAAAAATAATGACATAGCATCAATCATTTGAAAACAAAAATCCTTCTTTTTTTCAAATGTCTTTCAACAGTTACTTGAATTAATCTGACAATTTTATAAAGCAGATAAAATCATTAATACCTGTGAAACAATTTTTCTAAAAATTTATGTTGGAGGAATTACTTGCAAGTGGATTTGCTTTGAAGTAGACACTGAAAGGATGCTTTACTAACACTGGCATTGGCTATGATCATGGTATTTAATAACCCTGCTTAGGACAAGTCTCTAAAGGAAAGGTATTATGGTGACACTTTATAGCATAGACCTTTGGGACATCTATCACCTAAATTACAGTAAACATGCAAATATTTCCTAAGGAAAATCTTGGCCCTACCTCCAGCTCCTACTGAAGCACCTCCATAGATAGTGGGGTAGACACCCATTTAGGCATGGTCTTGTTTGGACTCTTCAATTTCCCCAAAAGGAGACCAACTTCAACATCTCCCCAACTGAATGCCAAAGTCTATGAATTCGTCCTTAATCAGCAGCACAGGTTGCCTATCCTCTGGATTCTTGTTAGAGTTTAAATCTCTCATATTTTATGCTGCCCAATACCTTCTACCAACATGGATATAAAAATGACATTCATGTAGGATTTGTTGAAGTGTATGCAGATATTCCATTTATGAGAAAGGCTCATGTTTGACTCACTCTGTGATGAGAAAGTTGGTGAGGATTCTGCTCAGGGGTCCCTTTTAAGAGGATACACAATAGAAATTCCTCCAGAGTATCAATTCAAGGACAAAAAAATATAATGTTTTCCTGAGCAACTACTACCTCCTGTCTTCTGAATCCTATCAATGTTGTGCCTAATCATACATCTCTCTTTGCCTTGGGCCCTAGGAAAGGCATTTGGTCTTTGAATCTAAGATCCATTGATAGGTTTTCTCTGCAGCGATTTTAGCATCTTAGTTTATTAGCACTTCTTTTCCTCCAACCATAACTTTCTCATCACCTTATTATTTCCCAGTAGCCATCTCAAAACTTTTTTTGGTTAGCCACGAATAAATATTATTATCCATATTACTTATATGTTATCATACAGATATTTTTTTCTATTTTCAGCTCATTTTTTTGTCCTCTATTTACTTCGCAGAGATCCTTCCAAAGTACCATTTGAAGCTCAGTATTTTCACCATCACTGTGAGTGCAGCCTGGCTTAGATGAACTGGGTTCCTCAGTGCACATGACAAGTTGGCTATTCATGGGACACTTTTACAGATCATGAGGATATAGGAAAAGGTCATCTGTCTCCCAGAGTTGGCCAAGAAGACATCATCATTTAACTTAAAGGCTCAGAATGAGTGGGTGTTCCTTAAGTCTCAATGTGCACTTAGAATATTACTGTTTAACATATTTCTACTTACATTATTTTATTTTGATTAACAAAAGGAAAAAAGATTTATGACTCTTGGAATTCGCCAAGCCTACATATGCATAAGTGTGTGTGTATGTGTGTACATAGATTCATATTATATTAGACCCTGATTTTTGCATAATAGTGACTACTTATGGATACCACACATTGTTTCATATAATGAGTATAACAAAATATTTTGGTTCTACAATGTTTAGCCAAGAATAATGTCAGAAAAAATAGGCATATTAATTTTAAAAGGCAGGAATGAATGTTTTTAAGATCTTATCCCCATGCTGGAAGTAGCTTTAAGTTCTGAGTCTAACATCAGGACAAATCTAATAAGTATTTGGAAAGAATATAAGACTATAAATATTAGTTTTATCTGTGCAACAACTTTATACATGAATTAAGTCTTGGCAAAAGAAAACAAATTTGGCTAATGCTACCTAGTCCCTCTGTTCCCTTTCGTCTCTAGATGCTGAGAGCTTTCAAAAGCCAGTGCACTTACCCAGTGAGGGACTTCTGGCATATTTCCAACTGGTCCAGCAAGTGTGGTAACAGCTGCCCCAGGGTCTCATCTCCAACGCAGCACTGAACTACACTGGGCATTTCGTGTGCCCGAGTCATGATCTTCACCCAAGATTTATCTATATTGGAAAAGCGCTTGGCCTCCTATGAGAACAAGGTAACAAAGCACACTGGACTCAGACAAATCTGTGATCAGATGGGACAGAGTATCTCACATCCTTCCAGCTGAAGCTAGAGTTCAGACCAGTTCAGATACCCAAGCTACATGTACCTAATATCACGCAAGTACTATTTAAATTGTTTTGGGGCCTTTTGCACCATACCATCCTTTTTATTAAATAAGAATCTTTAGCCCAATTTTGATACTCCCATTGTGTTAAGTGAAAACAAGAAACGACTGCAAAAATAATAACACAATACAAGATAATTTGGGAGGCAAGGACAGTCTTATTTTTTTCCACAGGTTATCTCTAAATGGGGTAGATTTTCTATTTTTATGTTTGCTACATTAAGCATTAGATTGTTTATCTAGAAAAATCATTTTAAAACGAGGATACAAAATTAATTCTAGTATAACCATAATATGGCAAAATATTTTTAAGTAGCTATTTTTGAGAAAAAATGGAAAATGCACAGATTATCTTGAGAGGGTAGTGATCATTTTTATTTTTCTTCCTTAAAGCTTTCTGTATATTACCAATAAGCATATACTACCATATATGATAGCAAGAAACTCCACTTAGTTCCTTAAATATTCTATGTGAAAGTTTCCATTAAGTCCAATTTCAGATTCTTCTCTACCCATCAAGAAGGAAAACATGCATGAATATAAAAGCAAAAATAAATAAATAAAATTTTAATGTGTAAATACATTTATGATAGCAAGAAACTCCACTTAGTTCCTTAAATATTCTATGTGAAAGTTTCCATTAAGTCCAATTTCAGATTCCTCTCTACCCATTAAGAAGGAAAACATGCATGAATATAAAAGCAAAAATAAATAAATAAAATTTTAATGTGTAAATACATTTTACTATTGGTCAAAAAATAGTCTATCTGATAATCAGTTAACAGATCTGTCTTCTATAAATTAAAAACTAACCAAAAAGAAAGTTAGGAAAACTAAGTGAAGGAAACATTTAACATAACCATGCTTCTAAAACTCAAATATATTGTTAAAACATTACCATCTTGCAAACAACTTAAGATAATTGAATAAGGGTCCTTGAAAATTGGTTAAAATGTCTATTAAAAAAATCTCAAAATATACTCTATAGATACTTAGTAAGATAATTACAATTTGATAAGAAAACCATGCTCAACAACATCTTGAGAAAAAAGGTCTTTTTGTTTTGGAGCTTTTTTCCTGCATATTTCTACCCCTCGATTTTACAGTACAGATATAATTGGTTAAATTGTATAGTGTGCATTATTTCAAAATGTCAGTAGAAGAAGAAAAAATTATCCTACCATTGTCAAGATAACTATGCCATAATTCTACACCGTTCCAAAATCTACCTTGAAATTATCTGAAGAAGCATTATCAATTACGCAGGGACTCATTCTTTGTTTTTTTAACCCTCTGTTTCCTGTCAAACCTCACAGTTTTGTATCATTCTTACTCTCTGATTGCCATGCCAATCCTTATCACAATCCCTCATTCCCTTTGAAGAATAATAGCATTAACAAGGACAACAAAAGGATTTGGGGAGAGGGGTTCAATAGAGGTTAAAATACTACGGCATTTTTTAAGGGCATATTTTTTCCTAGATATTTCTCTAATATGAAAATCCTGATGAAATTATAAAGAAAATTCCAAAACCTTAGGCAACTGCTTGGCAATGTCTCCTCCCACAAAGACAGCTTCTAAATAAATCCACAAGTTTTGCACCGTCATCCAGCTCTCGATGATGTCAGTTGAGTTGGAAAGGTACTGCACCCACTTTTGAATCTGGGCTTTGAATGGCGTATTGTACCTAGAATAAAAAGTATGTTTAGGATTTTGTTTTTGCTGTGTTATTGTTTTCAAACTAAAAAGGCTTCTTAACATCTTAATTTTTAACCTATTTCTTTACAACATTGACTATGTGGTTGGCTTTTAAAATGATGCAACCAAGTATTAATCCATCACCATTTATTGGGCATTGTTAGTCTAATTTTTCTCCCTTTGATCCAGAACATAGAGAGGAATGAGAGAATTGTAATATAAGGAGCAGATCAGCCATCAGACTTGATTCTACCACACTGCCAGAGTAATATGATACTGGTCACTGCTGCTATGTCCAGGAGAATAATACTCTTTCTACTGAGCTTCTGTGGCTATTCTGGGCCTCTTTCTAATTTCCCACCCAGCCAACTCACATTTGGTGTACATGTGTGCTAGGTTGATGCCTCTCCCATAGGTAATCTATCTTCTCCTTTTTTTCCCTTGAGACAGAGTGCCAGTGGCCTCCCAATATCCTTTTCTCCTTCTTCTTTATATAGAGAGGCCCATTTCTATGGGGGCTTCTAGCTAGCCAGCTAAAATACTGAATTTCCCAACCTCCTTTGCAGTAATGTGTGGTCATGGAACTAAGTTTCACATCAATAGTTCTCAGCCTTAGCTGCACGTTGGAATCATCTGGAAAGCATTAAAAACCATAGCTGCCTGCCTGGGTCCCACCCACAGAGATGCTGATTCAATAGGTCTGGGAAGTGCCCAGATGTTGGGAATTTTAAAAGTTTTGTAAAGTTCTCTAGGTTTGTCTGGTGTGTAGTGAAGGTTGAGAACTGCTCTCCTATATGAAATGTGAGTAATAGCATTGGATGCAGTGGGCAGTGTGGAAAATAAGGTCACACCAGACAAAGCCTGAGTCCCTGATGATGTGGTGAAGCCCCCATTCCAGCTTGAATCATCTGCCTTGGGACTTCTTTTACATGAGAGAGATAGAAACTTCAGTCTTGCATAAGCGATTTTGTATGTGCTGCTTCTGTTATTTGCAGACAAACTCAATCGTAGATGATTATTATTATTCTTCCTCTTATTTTTTATCGATCCCTCTAGCCCCATATAATATGGACTTGAAGTCATATTCTTGAATAAAATT